ACATAAAAGATTGCTTCATCATTGTTAAAAAGGGGTCAATTTTTGGAAAAATTTGGATTCCCCCAGGGAAATAGGAGGCCAAGAAATTTAAGAATAATTTAAAAAATCCTATCCAAATTAAGAAGGGCCCTTGGGTGGGCCAAATTAAATTTTTTTCCCCCAAATAAACTTATTGCAAAACCAAAAAATATTAGGATTTACATGATGGAATGCTTTACTATTGTTAAAGTTCGCTTTTTCTGGTAGTTCGTTTTTGTTCATACTATTGATAAGTATTACTTGATTTCTATCCTTGACCCCACATGTTTGATAAACCAAACTGTGTCTTAACTTGTGCGTTAATGGGTAACATCCATCTTTTCCATTATAGAAAGCGTATATTATTGCCCACGTTAAGGGGCCTGTTAATAATTTATTAAATTATTAGCTATTTTAGATTTAATAATTATAATATAGAATGATTACCTGTACTGAATCTGTGTTGACCAATTTGCCTAACTTCTAATGGAAACTCTGAGATACTCTAAACTTTGTGATACTCTTGCTGATGATTTATTTATTACTCTCATTCCACTTGCTGTAAGTCCCTCCTGAGCTTAAAGTCACATGAGTCGAGGTCTGGCTGCCACATAAGTCCCAATTACGGCAAAGCTTTCTGTATTTTCCTATATTTTAAGTATTTGGTGAGAATTCTGAAGAAATTTTCTAACTGAACTTCTTAACATCAGAATTTCATAATGTCCGAAACGTCAAACTTCCTTCACAACATACTCGGAGATACACATCAGGGCAGGCTTGTTGATAAACTGGGAAATTTTGCAACTGAGAACTATGGAGAGAAAGGACTTCAATTCTTCAACACTTTGACTGTTGCTCAAGTAAGTCTACTGAATTCGGATTAAGGAAAGTAAATCAAATTAAGATTGTGCTCTCCTATTACAGACTAAAATCTTGGTACAAGGTTCAGAATAGAGGCCCAGAAAATTGTACAATTTGGTCCAAAGGTGGTGCCTTAATTTTTCATCAGAATTACCCATTTGCTCTAAAAAACATGGGTTTAAATTCTACTTGTTATAAGGTCAACCCAGCCCATGTCTTATCATTCCTTCGCCAGTATGCATTTATTAAGCAGCCAACATAAAATGCCTCTAAATTTTGAACTGTTCAGTTGTTAAAGTAGCTTCACCAACCCTACATTTGCAGGTACTGTACCAGCTGTATGAGGCCCGTGAAGAGAAACGTGACGGTGCCCGAAAAGTGCTTGGTAAAATAACAACTGACAAAATCAATGACTACTGCAAGAATGAAAAGGATGCTGATAAACAGAAAGCATTTGCTGCCAAAGAACTGGCAATTTACGAGCGTGCTATTAATTCTATGTAGAGGATATGCTGCAGTGGAGTTTCAGTCGTGTGAACTTGTGATACTTTAATGATGAAAATGCTGTGTGGTTGCAGAGATCACGGTTATTGACAGTGTTACTAGTGATGTTTGTAGATAGTTGAAATAGAATACGAAGAGTGTGACTTCTGTAGAGAATCTGATTTATAGATGAAATTATTTGTTTGTGAAAGAGTGGATTCAGCTTATCGTGTGCCTCACGGCACTTCACATAAAACTAACTGACAGGGATAAAAAAATATTAGCTAGTTTATGCTTGAGATCTAGTAAATTTCTTGAAATTGATATATGATCGTGATATATCCAGATGGAGTATTTCAAATTTTTTGTTCAGTTTGACTTTATAAACGCTTTTATACGCTAAATGGGCATTGTACTGAACCTGTAAATGCCATATTTAGTGCATGCCGTACCTATATTATTTAGAATAGTGCAGTGTTATAAGTTCCCATTTGAAAGTTCAGCCCGATTATATTTTGTTCCGTCCTTGAGTATTATGCCAGGCCATGTTTAAATGTTAACTTGAGCTCTGCCAAAACTGTGAATTTTAAAGCTGTATTTGCCCCGTCTCCTATTGAGTCGATAGAATGTGTATAGTTATTATTAGATTTTTGTATTTTACGAGTTCTACTTTTGAGCTATAATTTCTTGATAATTTTCAGTTTAAATCATGTATATATTATGTCTATTTTGTTTGATCCTATAAATGACTTTTGTCCCAGTAATTTCTTTCGTGATATTCTCTCTATTTTCGGGTTCCTCTACAATAAAAATTCAATTAAGATCTATTTTTGGATCTCAGAAAACTTATGAAGTTTATATCCTGGAAATCTATAAAATTATAATTGTCACCATGTTGTTATTTTCATTTTGTTGACAAAATGTAACCTCCTCTAAATTCCCATGGAAATATAAATTCCTAACTTATTTGTTTCAGTCATGGCGGCTGAGAAGAAGAACCCCATGAAGGATATCAGCATCACCAAGCTGTGCCTGAACATCTGTGTAGGAGAATCTGGTGACAGACTGACCCGTGCCGCTAAGGTCCTGGAACAGCTGTCCGGTCAGGAGCCTTGCTTCTCCAAAGCTCGCTTCACTGTCAGATCTTTCGGTATCAGACGTAACGAGAAAATCTCATGTTGGTGCACCGTCCGTGGCGCCAAAGCAGAGGAGATCCTCGAGCGTGGCCTCAAAGTCAAGGAATACGAGCTGTGGAAGGGATGTTTCTCTGAGGAGGGTAACTTCGGCTTCGGTATTGACGAGCATATCGACTTGGGAATTAAGTACGATCCCAGCATTGGTATCTATGGTATGGACTTTTATGTAGTTCTGGGTAGACCCGGATACAGAGTTAGATACAGACGCGCCAAGAACTCCAGGATCGGAACCAAGCACAAGGTCGGCAAGGAAGAAGCCAAGAAGTGGTTCCAGACCAAATTTGACGGCATCTTAACGAACAAGAAAACCTAATAATTTTTAAATGGATTTTTATTTATTCTGGAATTTCTTTTGCTTTATTGAGTCAGTCTACCATGAAATTTTAATTAAATTTAATGGTGTCATTCAATTTATCAAATCTCAATGATGATCATTGGCATTGAAAATGAAAAATTTTAGTGTTATGTAAATTGATTTTTTTTGGATCTTACAATTCTGTATTGAATGATATCGCACAATTTGGCAAGTTTATTCATCTAACCTCTCACCACCCAGCCATGAAGTTGATCCACGCCGGTGACACGGTCAAGATACCGGATGGTTGCTCGGTAAAGATTGACAGGCGAATTGTCACAGTTGACGGCCCCCGTGGAAGTCTCAAGAAGAGCTTCAAACATTTACAATGCGAGCTGATCCTGCTGAAAAAATCCATCGACATCAAAGTGCATTTCCCCAACAGGAAAGCAGTCGCCTGCGTCCGAACCATCTGCTCTCACATCAACAATATGTTTATTGGTGTCCAACAGGGCTATAAGTACAAGATGAAATCTGTCTACGCTCATTTCCCCATCAACATCAACATTATCAACGACAACACTCACGTCGAGGTGCACAATTTCTTGGGTGAGAAATTCGTGCGACGTGTAAATCTCCTCCCCGGAGTTACGTGCAAGTCCACCGGTAACAAAGATGAGATTATGGTGGAAGGAAACGATGTGGAAAATGTCAGCAGATCAGCAGCCCTCATCCAGCAATCCACAACCGTCAAAAACAAGGACATTCGTAAATTTTTGGACGGTGTTTATGTTTCTGAGAAGACCTTTATCCAAGAGTTAGCTGAGGAATAACTAAATTTGGGATATTTTTATTTATTCTAAAATAATAATTGTTTTACTGAATGATGTTTTTGAATATGAAATTGCTCGAAAACGCTCAAGAGCGTAAAAAATTGTGAATCAACCTACGCTCAAAATGGATTTCTTCCCCTAAATCCAAATGTTATGCAGAACCACTGAATTTAATTTTTTGATAATGTTGTCCCTCAATAAAACTCTTTCATTTTCCAGTATTATAGCGTCATGGTTGCAGACTTACAGCTCGCTATGATGTGTAACTCTCTTGGGGTCGTTTTGTTTGCCATGGTAAGTTATCCTTGTCATCTTCTCTACCATAGCACTTCAATCCCACATCACATTTAAAACTGATAGAAAAGTAACTCCATTAATATGTAAATAATAATCTTCCAGCCCACTGATTAGGGGTTGTTCATATATTACGTAATCACCGAGGGGGTGGAAGGGGGTTTCTAAACGAATACTCTAGTAATAGTGTAATTTCAACACAATAGCTATGTGTAAAACTGATTACAGAGGGGGAGGAGGTTTAAAACATGACGATCCTCAAATCAAACGTTTTTAACAATTCTGTTAATTTTCAGGTAGTTCTAAAATTTAAAAACCCCCCCGAAAAAAATAGATTGATATCTGCCTACCTACTACCCATCATATCCACCGCTGCCAGAGGGTTAAAAATGTTGATTTATTTATTGAATGTTTATTTTACTTACATTTAAAAAAACATGTTATCTACGGCGAGAGCCCTTGTTTTAAAAAGACCTCTATCAGCTCCTCCCTTGGTTGGTTGGTTTTGATCGGTGCGGCTTCAGTTTGTGGTTCATTTCTCTTATTGACCTTATTATGCTATACTTTGTTTGAACAGTAATAGCTATTACGAACGACCTAAATATGGATTATTAATTTTGTGTAAAGCTTGATGTAATTTAAAGTTCAGTTATACGTTTGCTAAATTTGAATGATCTATTTTTAATTGAACTCGTATTTTTACATTGTTAACATGAAAACCATGCATCCCTTCGCGATTAAATGGGCAACTATAAAAATGTGAAACATATAAAGTTTGTGATGCAAATTGCAAGTGGTGTCCATGTCGTACTCATGCAAAGTTTTGTGATTGAAAAGTGATTAGCCTCATGCCCATGCCAGCCCTTGCCCCGCCCTTTTCTGTGATAACATTTCTTTAACGATGAAACAGCTTTATCTAGGACCATGGCCGAGCAAGTTAAGTCGATCATCGACATCCTCAGTAAGGCAACATTCAAACAAACCCTTTAATATCATCAGCTTCGACAACTTAGAACCCCTCCAACTTCTTCAAGTGCTGAACGATGTCTTCGCTTATATCGACTCGAGGGTGAGGATTTTATTTGAATTTCTAAGACTGATGTTTTCCATTAATGTTGAAGTTTCGTCTGCAGTAGACCTTGGTAAATCTCCTCAATAGAGTACTGAGCGGGAAATGTAGACGACATTTAAACTGTGATGTTCACAAGTATACAATATTACCAGTTGTTTACTTAGTAAGATTCACAAACAATTCTGGAAATAAAAAGCGCCTTATATTTTATCTACAACTTTCAATATTACCCCAAATCATGTTGAAAATCTTAAAACAACGTATTGATTATAACGACTAACTTCCTCGCAGAACAAGATGGACCTCAGAGAAGAAACCCCAGAAGATATGGCACACAGGATGCTGAAGTTCTTGTCTGTTCTGAAGTACAATCCTGAGTGTAGTGTTCAGGAGTTCCAGGTTCGTTAATATTATAAAGCCAAAAACTCCTCTTTTCTCCTCTTCTTTTCCTTCTATTTTCTCGTTCTCCTCTCCACTTCCTTCCTTCATCTCTTTCTTTTAGCATACTCAATCTCTACTTTGCCCTCCTCACTTGTATCATATTCTCTTCCTCCTCTGATTTCTCTTACTCAACCACTGTAATTTCCTGTGTAAATTTGATTAAAATCCTAATTAAAATTTCACATTTAAATTTCAAATGAAATTAAACTTCAAAAGAAATTTAACCGTTTAACCTTCAGGCGGGTATTATTACGGGTGAGAAGAGTGTGTTGTATCAGACTCTAGTTTGGGTGTTACAAAACGTGGAGGGACTCAAGACTAGAGCTTATCTTGGCAGGTTAGCTTTCTTTGCTATTTATATTAGCATATATTTTGTGTTGTATTATTTTATAAAGTTCTGTAGGGGTATAGTCAGAATAAATGTTAAGATTTCTGAATATTGTTTCGTCTGCAGTAGACCTTGGTAAATCTCCTCAATAGATTACTGAGCGGGAAATGTAGACGACATTTAAACTGTGATGTTCACAAGTATACAATATTACCAGTTGTTTACTTAGTAAGATTCACAAACAATTATAATATTATAATCATCGGCTTTATTGACACTATTCTAAAGTAAACGACCGATGTTTTCGTCACATAGTTTGATTTTTAATGGATATGAATTAAACTTTTTGATCGTCCATTAGTGAAATTTAGTACATACAAATTCTTATATTTAACAAACCTATCATGGAAATTTATTAATTGGATTGAAGTATTTGTAATTATAAATTAGCTTATTAATCAACTGAATAACCCAGGTATTTGGTGAAAGTAGAGGTTCCTGAGGAAATCTTGCAAGACGATGAAGTAGAGAAGATAAATACGGAGGTGAGTTTATTTAGAATTATTATATACAGATATTAAGTTGAAAAAACATCGTGTACAAATTGTACTTGCTGCTTTGGTGTCATCTTAAAATTTCTACCCGTAATGCTATTTGCGTGAAGAAAAAAATACTCTTGTTCTTTGGATAATCTGCTGACACCGTTGCAACTTCATAATTCTCATATATCCGATTATAAAACATTACATTGTGTTTGAACACTGACACACCACGATGTAATCTCTGTAACACTGTTCCCCCCAGTATATCGAACTACTGGAAGAGTTCAAAACAGTCCACAAAGCTACAGACAAGTTAAAGAGTAATCAGTACACGGCTGCGGATATCAAGAAGGATATACAGCAGATGGAACAGGAAAACGAACAACTTACTAAAACTATTGAGAGAAAGAAAGCAAGGGTGGGTTTATTTCTAGATTTTATTGACATGGCCTATTTTGTGTAGATTCGGGTAATTTGCTCAATTATTTCTTTTGTGAAAAATTATCCGTATGTGTTGAAAACATGAACAGTGTGTAATAAACTTAAGATTAAATTGTCCAGGACTTCTAATAATTGCTTTGCTGCTTAGATATCCCATTGTATTTTTTATCGTAATCCCGTAATAATATATTAAGTAAAATTAATTAATTAAAACCCACATCGAACGACACTATACATCATATTCACTACAATGACCAGAACATAAGCTCCCAAAAACTTTATGAAATTTGCATTAGGTTGGTACAACTTTACACTTGTGCGGCATGCTGTATAAAAACTTGACCTAATTTTTATTATTGTGTCAGGTTGAGTCGATGCTTAATATAAACGAGTTGCTGCAGCAGCACGGAGCCTACGAAGAGAACAGAGAGAAGGCAAACTTTTTGGACCAAAGCACGGCCAGAAACAGCAGTGCAGGTTGCGGAGAACAAGTTTCAGAGGGACTATGTCTCAACTTAAGGTAAGGGAAAGTTGTGGGGTTGAAGTAATGGCGTCATCAACAATCTCGGCGTGTCGTCAATTATTATGTCAAGTGGACTCCGCCTGGAGTATTGGATGATGAGTTATCAATACTCCTCACCCCACTGACACCTGGCTTACAATAAGCATGTTCAGCTCCAATCGGGCTGCTGAATGTGATATCAACCTTCATTATTTTACTGTGCTTCGAAGAGCTACGAACACGGTTATGGTGGACAAGAGAGAGAGCCCCATAATACCACGTGACGTTATCACACCACGTGACATCTACCATGTCACGTGGACGATCACAACACCCCGTGACATTGCCTCATCTTAGCGCTTGCGTGCTGCATCATAAGAACCTGAGCGTTGAGAGAAGCTGATGCTGAAGTGGAGGAAGAGTACAAGTCCCACAGTATCTCGTGAGGAGAACTGCCTAAAGAGCTCGCTGCTTAAGAAGAAACCTGCAACAACAATCAGGTATAGTTGATACACCGTAATTATGCATCTAAAATTCATTCGTGGCTTTTCTCATTTTTTCCCTACCTCGGGGAGACTACATTTTCTGAATGGCTTATTTACCGTTGTTTACCAACAAAAAAGTAGGGTGAATTAACAATTTCGCCTCATAAGTGTACTTGAACCAGCAATGACAGAGGATGATGTTCGAGGAACTTCTAGAAAAAAGCACAGGAACTGCAAATCAGAGCTGAACGGAGCTGCACCAGCAGAGAATGTCTAAATCTGATATGCGGTCGATGAATAACTAGTCATGTTCAGGAAAAACAGAGTAAATTGGACAATGTAACTTACATTTATTAAACTGTTACTGTTTATTCTGTTACTGACTTACAGTTGCTACAAACTGTGCTAAAACTGTTGTAACCCCACCCCCCCCTACAACTGTTTTTCTATTTGTTGTTACAAATTTGTCTGTGCTTTGTTAATCATATGGAGATGTACGTACTTTTAACAAGCGGTACTTAAAAACGGTTTATTTTCATGCATGTGTTTTTCAATGACGTTTTCTTGGCTTCCCTCGCTTACAGGCAATGATTGATTCGCTCGAAAGAACAGAAGTTGCAGAAGAATTGAAAGAATGCACTAAGAGGTCAGTGAACAAATCTCTCAAAAAATTGTTCATGAAGTTTTTGAAGTTCATATTTAACTAGGAATGCTCCTCGTACCTAACCAACCAATAGTTGGGTTTAATGATGAAAAATTTGATAGCGTGTAATCAGATTTACAACTGCTGACATCCCCTAATCTTCTCTTGAATTTCATGACGTCACCATCACAACTAAAACGTTATCCTCACACCACGTTGGACACCATAACTGTTCCCTCAAAGTGGACAGAAAATGAAAACGAGTTGTCTAAAAGAAGGAAAGAAATGAGGTCGAGGGGGCGAGCAAGGTGCTGACTGGACCGGCGTTTAAGAAGTATTCGCTATGATAGAAACAAGGGGAATGTGTATAAGCTAAACGATCAGGAGGTTTGTGTGCTATAAGAAACCGGCGTTTTTTAGCAAAAATACGTTATCAGTTTTGATCCTTGTAGTTAGATTGTTACATTTTGTCCTTTTCATTATCTGTTTTTAAAGCTTGGCCTTGCTTGTTATTGAACTTGGTGTTGGTTTTACATAGGATTCTGGCTTCATCGCATACAATGTATGGAATTATGAAAACTGAGCTTTTCTATAAAGATCTAACCACTGATGTAATCGCTACCGTTAGCCTTAACATCACGTATCTTCTTCCGATGGCCTGACTGCGTGCTGGAGTGGGTGATTTAGTCGAACAGTGATTTCTTCAGAATCCATACAACGAAGTCAACAGGACAATGTAGGTTTCTTCAGGATCTGATTTTTGTATTAGCAACGTTTATTTAAGCAGACGTATCCGCGATCAAATAATACATCTTCCGGCGCGCCAAAGTTGAAGCTGAATTGTTTGCTTTTTCTGAGCATCCGCACGGTGAAGAAAAAGTTGATAGCATATCTGGAGGACTATCCGTGCGCGCACGCGCGTTTTTTATAAATATTCTGATGGAAATTGTGATCCCAATTGCTTTCAGTCCTCCATGGAAAAATGAAGTGGGATTAGCTGTGCTACACTGTTACAACAAGATCAATTGGAGATGTTATCTGCATCATAAGGAGAAGTTGACGGTGATGAAAGGGGCAGATATTGGAAGATTTGGTCTGATATGTATGTTTTGCATTTTGATTTTCTGTTCTGTGGAGAGGCGTTAGTGGACACTAACTGAAGACACGTATTCGTTGCATTTGGAACCTTCTATCCTAGTTTTCAACTTTCGTATCTGCTTCAATCCAAGGATTAAGGTATCATTAACAAAATTTTGCCTGTTTGTGTGTACCCGATTTTTAATCAGACGTGCCAGTTGAATTTCGATGAATATCTGAAAAGAAAGGCTGCTTTGCACCGATTATAATAAGAACTGCGACCGCTACGAGGCAAATGTAACGAAACTAGAACACTTACACACACAGTAAGTATCTGAGAATGGTTTTTAATATAAGGGGACGCGAATTTTCTACTTCGGCGGGAAGGTCTGGAGCCAAAAATATTCTTATTTTAGGTATTATCTTAGTTTTAAAGTGTCGTGGAATGGTTTTGTGCTGGCCAGAGAACAATCTTGAAATTAACAATAGAGAAAATATTGTTTTGGTACGCCTTGCAAGCCTCTTTAGTTGGCTTCAAACAGTATGCCTCCATCAGCTGTTGTCCAGTTGGAAAATTTCCCGCGAACCATTCGACATTTCGCTTCTTCCAGGAAAAAAGACCGATACGACAGTTTTTCTCAAGTCTAGGATCCAACCTGCACAATCTAGAACAAGAAGTCGGGGGGTGTAGGAAATGCCCAGGGAGAGGAGAGCCGACACACTTCCTAATGCACGCTATGCAGGTACTTGCTTTCTTCATTTTGTGAACCATTTTCCTGTCGTCATCTGGTGCTTGGAGTCACTTGGTCACTTGTCAAGGCATGTCTTTCCAACTGGCCCAGCCTCTCTTTAAAAAAAAAAAAAAAAAAAAAGGCATGTCTTCGGTGACAAGTAGTACTTTTAAAAAAGTTGGAAGATTTTGGTATTCATGTATACCCTATTTATTATGAATACCAACTGCCTTTGATTATTAATTGCTTACAAAAGATAGTGGTTTTTCAATAAAAATTACGACTTTTTTAGATTACGACTTTATTTTTTTCGTACCATTATTTATGTGCTTGATGTAACAAATTTAGATGAATGCCCTAGGCTAATCGGATGAAATATTAATGAGAGGCCTGGTAAATTTCAATACTGTACAGTGTACATACAGCTACAGGATGTCTCATGTCCACCAAGTGGCTGTCGAGCTTGGTCGACATGAGTTATTTGAAATGTTGTAATTATGCCAATTTATTTGACAAATGTGATTTCCGTTAGCACAATTAATAGAACTTTCACGGAAATCTAATACTGAAATAGGTTATTATGTAATAACACTAATAAGCAAAATATCTAATTCTGTCTACTGAACTAAATTTGCATCTCTGTAAATCATACAGGACTAAAAATTATTGACTTTAGCAATCATTCTATCAAAATGGGGAATTATATGTAATAACTTACTAATTTGAAAGTGTCACAACCCGTTAGGAATTTAATATCTTTTAGTTTTCTGTAAGCGCTGCGATCAGAGGTATTTAAGTTTCATATTGCTTTCAGCCTGACTGGCCCTTATGACATTCGGCCTCTTTTGACTTGAGACTGTCTTCGTGAACATGAGCCAAGCTGAGACCATGATGAGAGGAAGTGCTAAGTAGATTTGTAGTTAGCTCCGTTTCACATGTCAGTAGAACACTCCTTACAATCTTTCTCGAGCACCACGAATCCGCCATGAAAATCATTGTTTTTGTTTTAATGGAATTGTGAGTAATTCTAGAGGGATATATGTGTATAGGATCAGTTAAGGTACTTAATTTGGATACTGTAATAAAGTTCAGTATTTTTGTTTTTGCTCGCGATTCTAACTTTTCTAGTACAATCCAATGAGTTGGGGTGAGTTTATTCTAGTCAAATGATCGAGATATTATCATTATTTGCTATTAAGGACTTACGATTTGCACATTTTTGACCAGCAGAGCACGCATCCAGGCATGTTTAGCTCTTCACCGTACAGTCGAGTTCGTAACCAGATTCACATATGATTGCCAGGGCTACGACCATTAACTGCTCATGCTTAGAGAAGCACAAACACTTTCATGATCCACCGGGTGAGGAATATAGCTGTGTGGGAATGTAATGGCTCTAATCAAATGGAGGAGACAAGAAATGGAAATTTGTAAGTTTATGAACTGACAGCAATTCACCTTTCAAAATTTGCTCCTTCTGTAAAAAAATGTCTCCTTCCATAAAAAAAAATTAGCGATTGTACACTCCACACACTATTTCATCTCACCCTGTATAACCGGACGTGATAAGAGTGATTTAATGGGTTAGTTGAGTACAATGAGCTGAACGTGAGAGTCAATCTATTGTCGAAAATCACGTGCATGATTATTCGAGTACTCGATATTTTCGAATTTAAGTTTAAACTGAGTTGGACCGTAAAAAAAATTCTGGAAAGCGTCGAGCGGTGTCCGTTCGGGTACCCATTTTCTGGAAAAACGGACATATGCGAACGGACAAATACAACATGAGCCCCCCCCCCCCCCCCCTTTATATAGGAAGATGCAGTTATGGCGGAGTGTGATAGGCGAGCGCCGCCATATCTGTACAAAGTGTACAAGAAAAATGGGGGGGGGGCCAACCATATTTTTAAAGTATATTATAAGTTTATCCCGGGTCAAAAATCGAAAAAATCTACAATTCTAAATATACTTTAATTCTACCTACAATTAGATGAGTTCTAATTCTTCGTTTAAGATTTCATGAGAACTATATTTTTCACTCAGTTTTGCAAAGATAAGACTGTTTTTGGACTAGTTCATGAATTTCCATCTATTGGTCAAAAATTGGGTGAAGCTATGAGCTTTAGAAAAATATTGCCCCTATTTGGGGCATACGCTTTTGCCCCAATTCGCTTTTGACCAAATTCGATTAAAATTTCCATTATTTTGTAATGAGACTAATCTATGTGAAAGATATAATCAGTGTTTGTTGAATATAGTGGATACTAAGTAAAAAGACCTCCAGGAACAAAATTGGGAATTGCACATAATATCTCGGTTTCAGAATTACATAGCCAAAATGACTTACAGTAAATTTGAAATAACTCCATCAGTTTTTCATTATTTTTCAAGAACTTTTTGGAATAGATTAATAATTGGCATTTCAAGATTATTTGGGCAAATTTTTTGAGTAGGCCTCATGGAGGATAGGGATATAAATAAAGTATATTTAAAGTATATGAATTACATTCCACGGGTCAAAAATCGGGAAAAAATCCTACATTTTATTTTAATTTAATATGTTGGCCCCCCACCCCCCCCCCCCACGCCCCCCCCACCCCCCCCCCCCCCCCCAAAAAATGATCCCAAAATTCAATTGAAACAGCTTGGTCACGTTTTGGTTGAGAATCACCGAGCATATGAATCAAAATTGTGCATTACCACCATTTATTAAGAAACAATCAGATTCACTGTTCTGGGCTAATAATTGTTTCTCTGCCGAGAGATTATTTTGCTGTGAGCAACCGGGATTAGAAGATCATTATTATATGACTCTGTATGGCGGACACGCTCAACAAAACAGATTTTTAAACTACAGTCATGCATCGTGTCCAATAAAAGGCGTTCCATTGTGAATTTTGTTATTTACTTAACCTAACGATTTGTCTCACAGTTATACTTATGTGCTAATGATGCTCCAGAATTCTGTGTGAAAACGTTTAGGAGCAAAATTTTATGAAGAAACCTATTCATTTGACCAATTAATTTTTTTATTCTTGGGGGGAACTGGTTTGATTTCTGAGAAAAGAGACACTGTCGAGTGAATCGTTCAAGTGCGTCTTTGTTCATTATATGAAACCAGATCGACTCAAAATTTCAAGGTCATCTCCATGTCAACAGCTTGAAGGAGCTAGTCTGCTCTTGGAGCAGCAATTGTTAATCATGTCCATCAACTATTTCAAATCATGACCGGAGTTATTTGAAAGCTGTTGTAATTATCTCAATTATCTGTATTTTGATTCACGTTAACACGATAAAAGAACTTGACACTGAGTAAAACTTGAATTTAAGTTATATTAGTAATAACGAAAAATAATAAGAAATTAAACATCTCTTGAATCGAAAATATTGACAGTCATTTTGATGATATTTGGTTGATAATTACTTTAAAAATAATGAAATAGCTCATTAGTTCACTTTGGTACATATCAATGTTTATTATATCAATATCCATGACATTCAGGCATCTCCCCCTTTCCGGCACATACATTCCCCTCTCCGACATTCCATCCACTCTTGAATCAAACCAGGTCTCTAAACATGGAGCCAAGCGGAGACCATGATGAGAGGAAGAGCAATGTAGATTTGAAGCTCGCTCCGTTACACAGGTCAAGGGAAAACATTCCTCGCAACTTTTCCTTCCGATTCACCTTGATCCGCACGGGTGGCCATCTACTCTCTACGCCAGCATAAGTCACGGTGTATCCTGGAGGTGATCGTCAGTTTTAAATGCTAATACTTGAGTTATTCTCACATTGATCTTTTTTTCTAGTTACAATTCAACAAGTTAAGCTATTGAATTGATCGAGATTCTCATAAATGTCACGCGGCAAAGTACTTACGATTTGCACTTTTCTATACCAGCAGAGCGAATCCACGGATTTGTACCTCCTTTAACGTTCGTGTAATAAACCTTTTTCAATCTGATTGCCAGGGCAACACCAATAATTGCTAGGCAGCACAAACACCTTTCATGATCTATAACCGGTGTAGATAGAGTGATAGTTGGTTAGTCAAGTTTTTAATGAGCATAGAAGGTCATATATGTCGAAAACTCACTTGCATGATTATTAGTGTACTTCGATATTTTCGATTTTAAGTTTTAACTGAAGTGGACGGTAGAAAAATTGGAAGCGCGTGCGGATCAAACGAAGATTAATATAACTTTGCCTCGCTAACTTAAACAATATTCTAACAGTGAATCGTTGAGTCCGCCGACTAAAGAAAACTCGAGAATAGTTAGGCATCGTGGCACTTTTAATTCTTTACCCTCTTATTTCACATCTGGAAACACCAAATAACTGCTTGGGCAGTGGTGCATAATTTTGCAAAAAGTGCCGAAACCTTGATGGTTATATTCCTGGGTGCCAGAATAAAACGTCTTTAGAAGGGGGGGTTTACCCTGATTTTTTGTGAATCTTAATTTCTTTACACTTTTTGTACCATACTTATAAAAACGGCAGAGGTGTAGTGCAAAAATAGCCGAAAAAGTGTGAAAAAAGTGACTTTTTGTGTCACAAAGGTATGGTATTACTTACCTTTGTGAAGACTGATTGATAATTATAGGAAAAAAGAAGATTATTATAAGATAATTTGTTAAGTGTAATTTAAAAAATAACAAAAAGTGTAAATAGTGTAAGAGTGTACTTTGTTCGACTACACTTTTTACGGCACCTTACACCAAAAAAGGCAAAAGTGTAGGTAAAAAAGTGTTAGGAACCCTCTCCGCTCTAGACACAGTGCGCAGGTATTCCGCGAAGTAATTTCATTCAAAAGAAACCGACCAAAGAAATTCTTCTCTTTAAATGTGTTCTTCCCCCCCCTGATTAAAAAATTAAATTGATATTGGTAACATATTTAACGGCCAGCTAGCGCAGTTGGGTTAGAACGCCATCTTTGCAAAATCGTGAGGTTGCGGAGTTCGAATCCCACTGTCTGCCTGGTCGTGGGGCGAGCGTCGTTGGGACGTTCAGTTAAGGATCCTGATGTGGTTATGCAGCCCCCCCCGCCTCCCCCCACCCCCCCCACCTCCCCCCCCCCCCCCTCAGCCCGAATACTCGAGAATCGGTTGTGAGGGTAAATGAGGAGCTGCACATTGCAGCATGTCTCGGGCGAGGAAAGTTTGATACCACTGGCCAAATAAATCCTTCGGCTTCCTGTATTGGACCTGGTTGAACTTGTTGTAACAATGTGGCTGTTGGAATAACGAAGTAAAATAAGTGTCTGGATAAAAAACGAATGTGATCATGATGCCAGTTCTTACGAATCATCTACTTACAGTTACTGTCTAGGTATTGTTGCACACTCCTAGGATAAAAAAGGGTTCAAAGAAAAAGGGATCCAAAATCAATTGAAGACATCGCTTAGATCATGATTTTCATGTCTGTTTTGGGTTAAGAATCACCGAGCAAATGTAAAAAATTGTTGATTTACTCCATTTTTTGTGAGTTTTTTATATCCAAGAAAAATAATCAGATCACTGTTCTAGGAAAATAACTGTTTCTCTGCCGAGAGATCAGTATAGCTGTGAGCAAACGGATTGAGATCAATATTAGATGATTATTAGTTTTAAATCTGTTTTGTTAAGCGGTCGCCATAGGGCATAGCAGGTCATCGATGACCTGCTATGGCGACACGCTCAACAAACAGTTTTAAAACTACAGTCATGCATCGTGTCCCAAAAAAGGCGTTCATGTGAATTTTTGTTAATTACTATCCTCAGATTTAACCACTAAAACGACTTGTTCACAAGTGATACTTTTTGTGCTCCAGTATCTGGTTAATACTTGTAGCGCAAAATTTTATGAAGACTGATTTAATTAATTATTTAATTAATTAATTGGTCCAATTAATTTTATTAGGGGACTGGCTTGATTTCTGAAAGAGCCATGCTGAGTGCATTTCACGTTAAAATTTAGTGCGTTTTGTTCATTTTCTAATATGTACAGAATCGACCCCAAATTGGAAGGGGGGGAGGAGGAGGAAGACTGAGGAGGAGGAGGAGGTAAAGGACTGAAGAGGAGAAGGAGGAGGAGGAGGAGGACCCATGAGGATTGAGGAGGACCCAGGAGAAGGACTGAGGAGGAGGAAGAGGAGGAGGAGGACTAAGAAGAACGATGAGGAGGAGGATGATTGAGGACTGAAGAGGAGGAGGATGAAAAGGTGGAGGACTGAGTAGGAGGGGGAGGAGGAGGAGGGGAGGAGGAGTACTGAGGAGGAGGACTGAGGAGGACTGAGGAGGATGGCTGAGGAGGTTGACTGAGGAGGAGGACTGACAGGAAGGAGGAAGACTGAAAAGGAGGAGGAGGTAAAGGACCGAAGAGAAGAAGGAGAAGGAGGACTGGTGAAGAGGATTGATGAGGAGGAGGAGGACTGAGGAGGGGAGGAGGAAGAGGCAACCAGAATTGTGGGTCTGGACTCTAGAATAGTGGGTCTGGCAACCAGAATGGTGGGTCTACACTCTGGAATAGTGGGTCTGGCAACCAGAATGGCGGGTCTTCGCCGTAGAAGAGTTGGTCTACACTCTGGAATAGTGGGTCTGGCAATCAGAATGGTGGGTCTGCAATCTAGAAGAGGTGGGCAGAGGGAGATTCAGGGTAGATAGAAACAGTGTAATTGTCGACGTTCGGAGGAGAATATTTTTAACATAGCTTAGTACATTAAATAGAGGAGGAAATGCTTTGAGAATCCTTTGCAAAGGTAGACAAAGCCAAATTATCAAATAATTGCTTATGAAATTAATAAACTTAAGAATATATAAATTGAATGGCAAACCTCAGTCGATTTCATCTTTTAACCAGAATTGAAGCTTGACTTTATGTCTTCAGGATATTCCCCTTTTTTCTGCTTTGAACATTCTTGCCTTCTCCATGATGTTTAAAAGCATGTGTTTCATATTATAGCTCCATAGCTCCTGATCCCTAAAACCATTTTGATTGAGCAAGACAGTTAAATAAAAATTTCTGGAATCTAAAATTAAAGTATGTCCACAGTTAAACATCCAAAAAACAGAATTATACCTAAGTAGGCAGTACGGGACCGAATCCAATAGAACAATAATAATAATAAATTTACGCTTAAGAACACCACTATTTAAAGATAAACTTATACTCAGCAGTGTTTAATCTAGTCATCCCAGAAACAATCTTACTATATATAAAGCGAGACGATATATATATATATATATATATATATATATTTATTTATCTGTGCCATTTTACTGACACCACAGCATCAACTTTAACACGACTTTCCGCAAAAACCGTAAAAGATATACAACTGAAACTTTTTGACTGGGTCAAATGCTTTAATGGCCTTCAAATCAGCATGAAAAAATAAAAAATTGATCAAGAAATAGGAGTTTTAGAGCCCAAAATTTGGACCCCCAAGTGGTGTCAAAAACGCGAATTAAATAGGTAATAATTATTTAAGTCTCTTGAGTCTTGACACCACTTTAGGGTTAGACGGGTTCCTGCTAGTCATGATAAAAGTTAGGACTGGTCATGGTATCATATACTTGAAAAGATATCGAGTTCATATTAAAATGAAAGAGAGAGACAATTTGAGACAATTTGAATAAGAAATTTATAATTTTAATGATAGTACAGTTGTTATTTTAAATACCTTTGTCAAGCTATAAATGCTGTCCAATACATGTTTGCCTTGTTTTACTCTTCATCTCCCTTCTAACTCTTCTCGGCATACAAACTCTTCTAATCTGAACGAGAAGTGTGAAGTGAAAAGCTTCTTACCCAGAAGGTTGTTTTAGCCTCTTTTCAACAGAGTCAAGTGTGTTTTTTCACAATTAAAGTGGTTACATTTAAAGTAATGTGTAACAATCTAAGCATGATTTTAGTTACTAAGTGCAGTGGTTCTTACGTACACAGAGAGACATGTCGAGCAGATAGATTCTCCGATCTCCACAAAATACGAAATCATCAACTATCAAGATTGTTGTTGTAATAAGTACTTGGAATTCAGAACATTCCCTAGAATAAAAAAGGTTTTGATGAAAAGTTACATTGTTTGATCACAATTACTATAATAGGTTACAATTGCTAACATTAGGCATTACAAACTAGTCAGTCAATTCAATATTATTTAAATCAAGTTTAGCTAAAGAAAGCCCAAAAAGGGTTCCCTTTAATTCAGTACAGCTGTAATGCAATGTAAATCATACACATTCATGCTACATGAAGACTGAAGAGGTCTCCTCCTAGTCGTTGGAGTGGCCTGCATCACACACGTCCCTTGTACGGCTTAACAGTGCTAACTGTCGTACTGCATCTCGACTGATGTTTTAAACAACTGTTAAGTTAGCAGCATCCTCGAGTACACAGGCCATCCAGGCTTTTTGGGGTCTCCCTCTCGATCGCTTTACATAGTTAGGTTTCACTCCAGTAAAAAATTTGGTAACCTAGTCTCTGGCATTCTTACAGCGTGTCCATACCACCGTAGTCTAGCAGAACTGATGAAGTGTCAATAGACATTAAGCCAGTACGCCATAAAACCAATTTATCATAAGATTCTTCTCAGGGATTATGATGATAGTACCGTTCCCACTAATGTTGGCACCCAGATAGACAGATTTCCCTCCACTGTAAGCTCAATAGTGTCTCTTTCGGTGTAGGGTCACTGGGACCCACATTTACTGACAACCATATACTAGGAGGTGCACGATAAAAATAAACTTGCTCGGATTTTTAAAATTTTTGTACCACTGTTTTCTAGAGATTGTGAGAATTTCCACAATACCAAATTTGTCATACCTTTTTGGAAAGATCAGTGAGTTTCGCCTAGGTGCCATATTTGATGGTGCGCGGCTTTTGGAGCAAAAGTAGCTGTAAAAGTCGCGTAATTTGACTAAATTCGTCCAAATTTGACCATTTTTGTCGTATTATTCGGATTTATCTTCAGTTCCTTAAATGAGATCATTCTGGAAATTGGCGACGACCTTCCAATAGGGCTTTCACAACTGTCCGAAAAATTTGGTGGATATCGGAGTTGATATAGTGATCAAAATGGGGCAAAATACGCTACTTTTAGCTGTAACATAATGTCTGATGGTTGGATATGCTTTAAATTTTTCGGACACTTTCCTTGTAAGTCTTTAAGTAAGCTTACCAATTTTTGTTGCAATTGGAGGTCGGGAAGGATACTCAATATCTATTTGTTTGAAGAAAATTGTGCTGGCCGAAATTAGCGCTAAAAAACCATCCTACAGTCGGCACACGCGGCTCACTGTCGATGGCGCACTACCTACATATACTGTGTTTTTTCGGTGTTGATCTTCAATCCATACATACATTACATGGTAAGGTCTCCTCCTAGTCGTTGGAGTGGCCTGCATCACATACAACATCAACAAACTTGATGACTTCAACTTTCCTGTGGTCATGTACACCTTTCCTAACAGTAATATTTCCTCTTCTGTTGGTTATAATGTTTTTTACGGTCAGGTCCTTCGTTACTCTTCCATTATCTCTGACCTTGATTCTTTTCTGTGTTCTACCAACACCCTTTATAGGACACTTCTTTCAAGATGTTATAATGACAGACTCCTGAAGAGTAAATTCAGAAAGCTTCTGAAAGACCGACCTAGTATTCTGTACAAATACAGTATACTTGATGTCAGCGACATCCTTGACATCACATTTAACGTGAACAGGTGATCACTGACGAGTGATTGCTAGGGGGTCTTGGCACATTAAACCGGTACAGGTATTAAACCCCCGAAACCGGTGTGCCAAGTCATCTGCTGATGATGTTCACATAACATTATTTCCTCTCTCCTTTATTCCTTCCGTCTTTTCTTAAACTTACAGTTCAGTTACTTTATTTCACCAGGTCTACCTAAGGATCAATTATTCTTTGGTGGGGTTTCACTTCTGGTATTGGCTTCATTCCCGTTCCTTTTCCTTATTCTTTATACTTATTTTTTTATATAGTTTAATGAGATTGCAATTTGTATCACTGTTGAAAGTGTGTGGCGGTTCCTCCGCCCTGCCGGATGCGCCAAGTGATAGCTTGTTATTATATGATTTACGTCCTTAGTTTTTGCTAGTTGGCCCTTTTTATGATATTATTACCCCCTTTTGCACAGTTCTTCAGGAGTGTTTCTCTTCATGTTTTCTGTTCCTTAGACCAAACAGGGGCGTGAGCTGCCCGCCCTAGCTACGGTACGAGAAGCAGCGGCAGTGTGTGATCCGGTTATAAAGAGTGTTCTTGGAACAACAGCACTCTGCTTGGCTGCACTGTGACAGTGGGAGAACATTAGTTCATGTCACCTAACGCCCGCTTAACCTTGGCAGCCCCAAGGCATCTGGTTGGTGATGGTTCCCAGGGCTTTTTCAGTTGGAGTCGGCTGTTAAGTTTGTCCTGTAAATTCTTGACTTAAGAAAGGAAATAAAATATATAACATCACATCCAACACTTGGATTCATCCCAACAGTATTATTTCCCCTGATATAACACCGTGTAATAAGTCAAGATGTCTCACCTGTAAACCATTCAGGTCAAGTAATATTTTCACCAGTTACGTTACTAATAATTCTTTCATGTTAACTCACTCTGAATCCTTTTCTTGTAAATCTTCTTCTATTATCTATCTCCTCACTTGTTCTTGTGGTATTCAATATGTTGGGCTCACAGAACAGCGCCTTAATGAACGCATGAATGGACACCGTGCTTCGGTTAAAGCCGGCAAATCCTCCTTTGTCCATGACCACTTTAATACTCCCGGTCATAATTTTCATGACGCCTCCATTCAAATTACTGATTTTATTGACCCTTCCTCTACTGAAGACCCTCGTCTGGCCTTAGCTGACAGGGAACTTCTTTGGATTAATCTCCTGAGCACTGCTCACCCTCTAGGTCTCAATGACAACATAAAAGGTTCTGGTAATATTTCTAAAAGCAACTTTAACGATATTTATTTTAAAAATAAAATAAAAAGATATAAAAGAGGACATGGCAGAAAAAAGAAAAACAAAAGCCATGAAGATAGAATATACAAAAGGACTCTCACTTTAAGAGAGATTGACAATAAATATGAAAGTTTAAAAAGAAAAATGTCTGAAAGCAAATACAGCTTTTATAAAGATATAAGTAGCCTTCAAAAAGGCGAGCTCAAGCAACTTAGCTCTCATTCCCTCTGCAAATCTGGAGCCATTTTCCTTGTTATACAATCTTTTGCTGGCCAAGACAGCACTTCTTCTCCTAATATCACCTCTGTTAATAGCGAGTTTATCACTTTTCACTATTGTTCTAAAATATTTGATAAACTCCGAATAGAATCAGTCATTCGTGACTCTAGGATCTTGACTCTTCTCCCTCCAAACCTTACGCCTTTCCTTCCCTTAAAAGTTTACTATAAGTACGATATTCCTGTCGGGCGTAAGCTTTTTAATTATAATAGATTCCTTAAATCACTTGATAATACTACTATTTCCTCCATCCTGGAAGGTGATTGCCCCTGTTCCAGTAACCCTTATTGCTATCAGCCTCGAGGCCACATCATCACCGGTGACCTTGCTTTCATTGAGCACGAGGATTTAAGAGGCATCATGAGTTACGGTACCAAATTTAGGGAACCTGTGTCTGTTCCTCCTGAGCAAATCTTGGAGAGCCTCAACGAGTGTTCAGCCAACTTCGCCACCCGTATGGCTAGGAAGCATGGACTTTCATGTTTGGAATTCCAGGATTGGAAAGATGAGGTCTCCCGGATCTTCACCAATCGCCTTAACTTCCTCTCCTCCTCCCCTAATAACTTCACTCCCTACAATTCCATTCTACAAAGGGATGATGTTAAATCTTATCTCGACAGTCTTTCTTCTTCTTTTATTATTTGCTCCGTAGATAAAGCTTCAAATAATTATGTTTTTGTCTGCAAGAAGTTTTATCTTTTAACCCTTCTCAACGAACTTGGCTACGATCTCACTTCTCTAGAGTGTCGTGGCAATTCTACTTATCATCCGGTTAACTCTGTAGAGGATGATATTATTCAGGAACATGTGAACTTCATTAAAGATAACTTTAATATTCGTGTTTCCGAGGACAACCTTTGTCTACCGAGAATCTTTTGGATTCCTAAACTTCACAAGAATCCTTATAAGTCTAGATTTATAGCTGGGGCCAGTAAATGTACCACTAAGCAGATATCAGTTGTAGTCAACAAAGCTTTAAAAGTTTTAAAAGAATACTTTTCCAAATACTGCAACTCTATCTACAACAATACTGGAATTAACTGCGACTGGAGCATTAACAGCTCTAAACAGTTCCTGGAAAGGCTGCCTAGACTAGAGATTTTTAATATGCAGGTATACGACTTTACCACTCTGTATACCAATCTAGACCTTCAGGTTGTACAGTCACTGCTTTTCGAGCTAATAGATCTCCTCTTTAGTAATACGAATAAATTTATTTGTGTTTCTCTGTATAAGAACAACAATTTTTTCTCTAAAAAGGAATATAACGGATACTTATGTTTTTCTGCTGATAAACTCAAAACAGCTATTACATTTATTCTGTTTAACACTTTTGTTTGTTTTGGGGATCAGATTTTAAGACAAACGAAAGGCATTCCCATGGGAGGGAATTCTAGTAGCCAGTTCGCTGATCTTTCGCTAGGGAAGTGTGAATTCAACTACATGACACGCCTAATCAAAGAAAAGAAGTTCGGTCTCGCTAAGCTCCTCTCAAGAAACTGCAGATATGTCGACGACCTCAACACCATGAACTATTTGCATTTCTCTAACCTAATCAGGTCCATTTATCCACCTGACCTGCTTATGGAGAGGAGTGGTGACGACAATAAGTCCGTAAACTATCTCGACATCAACATCTCGATGAATAACTCCGGACACGTCGCCACCAAGCTTTACAACAAACTTGATGACTTCAACTTTCCTGTGGTCATGTACACCTTTCCTAACAGTAATATTTCCTCTTCTGTTGGTTATAATGTTTTTTACGGTCAGGTCCTTCGTTACTCTTCCATTATCTCTGACCTTGATTCTTTTCTGTGTTCTACCAACACCCTTTATAGGACACTTCTTTCAAGATGTTATAATGACAGACTCCTGAAGAGTAAATTCAGAAAGCTTCTGAAAGACCGACCTAGTATTCTGTACAAATACAGTATACTTGATGTCAGCGACATCCTTGACATCACATTTAACGTGAACAGGTGATCACTGACGAGTGATTGCTAGGGGGTCTTGGCACATTAAACCGGTACAGGTATTAAACCCCCGAAACCGGTGTGCCAAGTCATCTGCTGATGATGTTCACATAACATTATTTCCTCTCTCCTTTATTCCTTCCGTCTTTTCTTAAACTTACAGTTCAGTTACTTTATTTCACCAGGTCTACCTAAGGATCAATTATTCTTTGGTGGGGTTTCACTTCTGGTATTGGCTTCATTCCCGTTCCTTTTCCTTATTCTTTATACTTATTTTTTTATATAGTTTAATGAGATAACATATGTCTCCGCTGTACTCGGTTGGTAGCCAAAGCTTCTGTTGTGTTGTTGTCGATGTTTTCAACACCTGTAAACTTAGCAGCATCTTCGAGTACGCAGGTCTTCCAATTCTTTCGGGGTCTGCCCTTTGACCTCTTTCCATGATTTGGCTTCCAGTTCAACAGAAAC